CAAAAGTGAGGCAAGAATGGATGAGTGTCATCTTTAAAAATACCCTCGGCATACTTGTACGAAATTAAGTAGGTAAAATGCTGTTTGTCGCTCAAAACAGATTTTGACAATACATTAAGACAGGTGAACCGCCTGCCTCGTTTCCTGGAAAGAACCTTTTTGTGAGATTGCTAAAGATCAGCAATCCATGAAGGATTCTGCAGCTAAATGACTGTCTATGTGTTTAGCTGGAGGGCTATCACGATATTTTAAACAAAATAATCAGTGAAACATCTGTGATTTCTGTTTTCGTAGTTTATAGCCTACTGCAACGGAAATTTTCCTATAAGAATATAAATCTGAGCCGTGAGTTCTAAAAAACTGAAAAGCACACAGCATGAAATAGTGAAATTGTGGACTCTGGGACAAATCACTGAAATGACATTCGCTGATAGTCGAGAAGTATCATGGAGGTTCCATTGAAAGGATTTCACTGGGATGAGTTGAGGAAGCCCTAACCTTTGTCTTCCCCAGCTCAGTCACGGGAATCAGTCCTATTTTATCCAGCGAGTGGATGAACCATTCAAGATGCCATGAGGTCATGCTTATCTGACGGACCTATGAGTTCTGAAAAATTCTGTCGGTCAATGAATTTCGTTGGCAGCTTATTTTTTCGGGTTCTGCAGGCAGATACATCAGACAATGTCCTGCGCCAGCGTCTGAGCTTCGGGTTTCGGCAGAGGAAAATCCAAGTCTGCAGCAGGACCCTCCCTTTCATTTGTCTTACATTATTCTTTGTCGTTCTCGGGTCTTCGGTGGGTCGGATGGGCAAATAATAGTTGTTTCGCTTTCCTTCGTGAATGTGTATTCGTGAAAAGTGCCCCACCATCACATGACTATGCCTTCTCAGACCGGAAAGCAGCAGCTATACACCGAGCACTCTCGAATATCTGTACTCCTGATCATTTCGAGATAAAAGTTCAATTTACCTCCTAAATCATTACTGCTAAAAATATTTTGCAATGGATTTCAAACTTCATGCGTTGTCTTATATATAACAGTGAATGCTGCATGAGCGTTGAAATTATTGTCAGCTCCAACCACCCGTTTTTTGTTCTATTTAATTTTTTAAATCAAAAGTAATTACTCTCGATTTCGTGTCTTCTCTGATGCAATCATTGAATGTATATGCAAATTTTTTAGACTAATTGATAGGCTTTCCCATCAAGCATATCAGTCATCGCCAGGTTGACATGCAAGATATGTTTGTGTTCTGGGGTCGAGTCCACGGGAATAACAGCATTAATTAAAAATGTAGTATTTATGAAATAATTTCGTTTAACTGCATATTTCCATAACCTTTTTTGATTTTTTGTTTCACCTTGTCTGATAAAGTAGGTCGCTGAATCTCAGGATAGAATCCAAGGAAGGTCATAATGCAGAAGAAATGACTATGAAATCAGCATAAACGTGCTGATTGTGAAGCAGGTTATCAAAATGGCTCCGACTTGCAGGAAAGTTGAAAACTGATTTCCTTGACTGATTCTAACGACGTAACGGCTCCAAGTTTGAGGTTAACTTTCATTTATGATGAGGTTTAAGCCATTCAATGAGGATGTGGTTGTGCCCTGTCCATAAAAAAATGTTCTCTTCGTCATCTTATGTCAAATCGTTTTCACAGCTCTCGTAAAATGCACTCGTATTGCTCGAATGGAGTAATTACTTTCCGCCGCCGCAGACGGGTCCCCGCATTAGCGCTTGCTTACTACGAGTGAAATAATCGATACTGACATGTTCAGTAATAATGAATGCTCAATCAATCGTTAGTTG